CTAAGAATTTGTCCATTTCTTCCAGGTTGTCCATTTTATTGGCATAGAGTTGCTTGTAGTAATCTCTAAGGATACTTTGTATTTCTGTGGTGTCTGTTGTAACTTCTTCTTTTTCATTTCTAATTTTATTGATTTGAGTCTTCTCCCTCTTTTTCTTGATGAGTCTGGCTAATGGTTTATCAATTTTGTTTATCTTCTCAAAGAACCAGATTTTAGTTTTATTGATCTTTGCTATTGTTTTCTTTGTTTCTATTTCATTTATTTCTGCTCTGATCTTTATGATTTGTTTTCTTCTGCTAACTTTGGGTTTTGTTTGTTCTTCTTTCTCTAGTTCCTTTAGGTGTAAGTTTAGATTGTTTATTTGAGATTTTTCTTGTTTCTTGAGGTAGGCTTGTATAGCTATAAACTTCCCTCTTAGAACTGTTTTGGCTGCATCCCATAGGTTTTGGATCATCATGTTTTCATTATTATTTGTCTCTAGGTATTTTTTGATTTCCTCTTTGATTTCTTCAGTGATCTCTTGGTTATTTAGTAACGTATTGTTTAGCCTCCATGTGTTTGTGTTTTTTACGATTTTTTCCCTGTAATTCATTTCTAATCTCATAGCATTGTGGTCAGAGAAGATGCTTGATATGATTTCAGTTTTCTTAAATTTACTGAGGCTTGATTTGTGACCTAAGATATGATCTATTCTGGAGAATGTTCCCTGTGCATTTGAGAAGAAAGTGTAATCTGCTCTTTTTGGATGGAATGTCCTATAAGTATCAATTAAATCTATCTGGTCTATTGTGTCATTTAAAGCTTGTGTTTCCTTATTTATTTTCATTTTGGATGATCTGTCCGTTGGTGTAAGTGAGGTGTTAACGTCCCCCACTATTATTGTGTTACTGTCGATTTCCTCTTTTATAGCTGTTAGCAGTTGCCTTATGTATTGAGGTGCTCCTGTGTTGCGTGCATATATATTTATAATTGTTATATCTTCTTCTTGGATTGATCCCTTGATCGTTATGTAGTGTCCTTCTTTGTCTCTTGTAACATTCTTTATTTTAAAGTCTATTTTATGTGATATGAGTATTGCTACTCCAGCTTTCTTTTGATTTCCATTTGTATGGAACATCTTTTTCTATCCCCTCACTTTCAGCCTGAATGTGTCTCTAGGTCTGAAGTGGGTCTCTTGTAGACAGCATGTATATGGGTCTTGTTTTTGGATCCATTCAGCAAGCCTGTGTCTTTTGGTTGGAGGATTTATTCCATTCATGTTTAAGGTGATTATCGATATGTATGTTCCTATTACCATTTTTTTAACTGTTTTGGGTTTGTTTTTGTAGGTCCTTTTCTTCTCTTGTGTTTTGCACTTAGAGGAGTTCCTTTAGCATTTGTCGTAGAGCTGGTTTGATGGTGCTGAATTCTCTTAGCTTTTGCTTGTCTGTAAAGCTTTTGATTTCTCCATCGAATCTGAATGAGATCCTTGCGGAGCAAAGTAATCTTGGTTGTAGGTTCTTCCCTTTCATCACTTTAAGTATATCATGCCACTGCCTTCTGGCTTTTAGAGTTTCTGCTGAGAAATCAGCTGTTAACCTTACGGGAGTTCCCTTGTATGTTATTTGTCGTTTTTCTTTTGCTGCTTTCAATAATTTTTCTTTGTCTTTAAGTTTTGCCAGTTTGATTACTATGTGTCTAGGTGTGTTTGTCCTTGGGTTTATCCTGTATGGGACTTTCTGCACTTCCTGGACTTGGGTGGCTCTTTCCTTTCCCATGTTAGGGAAGTTTTCGACTATAATCCTTCAAATATTTTCTCAGGTCCTTTCTCTCTCTCTTCTCCTTTTGGGTCCCCTATAATGCAAACGTTGTTGCGTTTAATGTTGTCCCAGAGGTCTCTTAGGCTGTCTTCATTTCTTCTCATTCTTTTTTCTTTATTCTGTTGTGCAGCAGTGAATTCCAGCATTCTGTCTTCTAGGTCACTTATCCGTTCTTCTGCCTCAGTTATTCTGCTATTGATTCCTTCTAGTGTAGTTTTCATTTCAGTTATTGTGTTGTTCATCTCTGTTTGTTCTTTAATTCTTCTAGATCTTTGTTAAACATTTCTTGAGTCTTCTTAATCTTTACCTCCATTCTTTTTCCAAGGTCCTGGATCATCTTCACTGTCATTCTTCTGAATTCTTTTTCTGGAAGGTTTCCTATCTCCACTTCATTTAGTTGTTTTTCTGGGGTTTTATCATGTTCCTTCATCTGGTGCATAGCCCTCTGCCTTTTCATCTTGTCTATCTTTCTGTGAATGTGGTTTTTGCTCCACAGGCTGCAGGATTGTAGTTCTTCCTGCTTCTGCTGTCTGCCTTCTGGTGGATGAGGCTGTCTAAGAGGTTTGTGCAAGTTTCCTGATGGGAGGCACTGGTGGTGGGTAGAGCTGGTTGTTGCTTTCGTGGGCAGAGCTCAGTAAAACTTTAATCCACTTGTCTGCTGATGGGTGGGGCTGGGTTCCCTCCCTGTTGGTTGTTTGGCCTGTCAACCCAACAGGAGCCTACCTGGGCTCTTTGGTGGGGCTAATGGTGGTCTCTGGGAGGGCTCACGCCAAGGAGTACTTCCCAGAACTTCTGCTGCCAGTGTCCTTGTCTTCACGGTGAGACACAGCCACCCCCTGCCTCTGCAGGAGACCCTCCAACACTAGAAGGTAGGTCTGGTTCAGTCTCCTATGGCGTCACTGCTCCTTCCCCTGGGTCCCAGTGCACACACTACTTTGTGTGTGCCCGCCAAGAGTGGAGTCTCTGTTTCCCGAGTTCTGTCGAAGTCCTGCAATCAAATCCCACTAGCCTTCAAGTCTGATTCTTTAGGAATTCCTCCTCCCGTTGCCAGACCCCCAGATTGGGAAGCCTGATGTGGGGCTCAGAACCTTCGCTCCAGTGGGTGGACTTCTGTGGTATAAGTGTTCTCCAGTTTGTGTGTCACCCACCCACCAGTTATGGGATTTGATTTTATTGTGTTTGCGCCCCTCCTACCATCTCATTGTGGCTTCTCCTTTGTCTTTGGGTGTGGCGTATCTTTTTTGATGAGTTTCAGTTTCTTCCTGTCGATGATTGTTCAGCAGTTAGTTGTGATTCTGGTGTTCTTGCAAGAGAGAGTGAGAGCATGTCCTTCTACTCCGCCATCTTGAACCAATCCTCTCCAGTTTTTTTGTTTTTTATATATGATGTGAGGAAATGTACTAATTTCATTCTTTTACATATAGCTGTCCTGTTTTCCTGGCACCACTTATTGAAGATACTGTGTTTTCTCAATTTTATATTCTTGCCTCCTTTGTCGTAGATTAATTGAGCATAAGTATGTGGGTTTATTTCTGGGCTCTCTGTTCTGTTCCTTTCATCTATGTGTCTCTTTTTATGCCAGTACCATGATGGTTTGATTACTGTAGCTTTGTAGTATAGTCTGAAGTCAGGGAGCATGATAACTCCAGCTTTGTTCTTTTCTTCTTAAGACTGTTTTGGCAATTTAGGGTCTTTTGTGGTTACATATAAATTTTAGGATTAGTTGTTCTAGGTCTGTGAAAAATGTCATGGGTATTTTGATAGGGATTGCATTAAATCTGCAGATTGCTTTAGGTAGTATGGACATTTAAAAAATATTAATTATTTTAATCCAAGGACACAGGATATCTTTTCATCTTTGTACCATCTTCAGTTTCCTTCATCAGTATTTTATGGTTTTCTGAGTATAGCTCTTTCACCTCCATAGTTAAGTTTATTCCTAGTTATTTTATTTTTTATGAGATTTAAATAGGATTATTTTCTTGCTTTCTCTTTCTGATAGTTATTAGTGTACAAAAAAGCAACAGATTTTTGTATATTAAGCTTGTATCCTGCAACTTTGTGAATTCATTTATTACTTCTCCAGTAGCTTTTTGGTGGAGATTTTAGCTTTTGCTCTGTGCAATGTCTGTCATCTGCAAATAGTGACAGTTTACTTCTTTTTATAATTTCTTTGGGAAGGTGTCTGTTAAGGTCTTTGGCCCATTTTTTAAAAATTTGATCGTTTGTTTTCTTTGTTGAATTTTAAAAGTTCTTTGTATATTTTGCAGAACAGTCCTTTATGAGATATGTCTTTTACAAATATCTTTTCCCAGTCTGTAAATTGTCCTTTCTTTCTCTTGTCAGTGTCTTTCAAAGAGCTGAAGTTTTTTATTTTAATGAAATTCACCTTATCAATTATTTCTTTCACAGACTGTGCCCTTGGTGTTGCAATGAAAAAGTCATTGCCAAAAGCAAGGTCTTCTAGATTTTTTTCCTATGTCATCTAACAGTTTTATAGTTTTATGTTTTACATTTAGATCTGTGATCTATTTTGAGCTAATTTTTGTGAAGGATGTAAAGTCTGTGTCTAGATTCATTTTTCTTCTTTAGCCTATTGATGTGATGGTTTACATTAATTGATTTTCTATTAATGTAATGGCCTTGTAATGAACTGGCCTTGCATACCTGGGATAAGTCCCACTTATTTGTGGTATATACTTTTTTAAATACATTGTTGGATTTGATTTGCTAATAACTTTTGAGGATTTTTAAGTTTATGTTCATGGGAGATATTGGTTTGCAGTTTTCTTATAATGTCTTAGTCTGGTTTGGGTATTTGATACCCCAAGTTTGGTATTTGGTATTACGGTATGCTGGCCTCATGGAACGCATTAAGAAGAATCCTCTCTGCTTCTACCCTCTGAAACAGATTCTAGAGAATTAATATGATTTCTTCATTAAGTGGTTGTTATAATTCACCAGTGAACCCATCGTGGCCTAGTGCTTTATGTTTTGGAAGATTTTTAATTATTAATTCAATTTCGTTAATAGATATAGGCCTATTTAAATGGCCTGTCGCTTCTGGTGTGAATTTTTGCACATCTTTTTTTTTTTTTGCAGTACGCGGGCCTCTCACCGTTGTGGCCTCTCCCGCTGCGGAGCACAGGCTCCGGACGTGCAGGCCTAGCGGCCACGGCTCACAGGCCCAGCCGCTCCACGGCATGTGGGATCCTCCCGGACCGGGGCACGAACCCGTGTCCCCTGCGTCGGCAGGCGGACTCCCAAACACTGCGCCACCAGGGAAGCCCCTGCACATCTTATCTTTCAAGAAATTCATCCGTTTCGTGTAGACTGTCAAATTTGTAAGTAGAGAGTTATTCATAGCATTCCTTTATTTTCCTTTTAATGTTCATGGGATCTGTATTGATGTTCCCCGTTCATTTCTTATATTAATAATTTGTGTCCTTTCTCTTTTATTCTTAAGTAGCGTAGTGAGTGGTTGATTGATTTCATTGATCTTTGAAAAGAACTAGCTATTTGTTTCTTTTATTTTTTCTATCAATTTTCTGTTTTCTATTTCATTGATTTTTCTTTTAGTTTTTATTAATTTTCTTCTGTGTAGTTTTGACTTAATTTGTTCTTCTTTTTCTAGTTTCCTAAGATGGGACCTTACATTATTTATTTTAGATCTTTCTTCTTATTTTAATACATGCATTCAATAGTATAAATGTCTCTAAAGCATTGCTTTCACTGCCTTCCACAGATTGTGATTACTTATGCTTTAATTTTCATTTAGGTCAAATATTTTTATATTTCTCTTGAAATTTATTTGTTGACCCGTGTGTTATTTAGAAGTTTGTTGTTTAATCTCTGAGTCTTTTGTGATTTTCCAGCTTCTTTCTGTTATTGAATGCTATTTAATTCCACTGTGGACTGAGAGCAGTTATTATATGACTTCTATTCTTTTAAATTTGTAAAGGTATGTTTTAGGGCCAGAATGTAATCTAGCTTGGTGAATGTTTCATGTGAATTTGAGAAAAAGTGTATTCTGTGGTTTTGCATGAAGCAGTTTATATCTAGTTGAACAATGGTGCTGTTGATTTCCACTGTGTCTTTAATGGTTTTCTGCCAGTCTAATCTGTCCATTTCTTACAGAGGTGTGTTGACATCTCTGACCATAATAATAGATTCATCTGTTTCTCCTTGCAGTTCTAGCTGTAAAGTAAAAAGCTTTTTTTAAAATTAATTAATTTTTTATTTTTGGCTGTGTTGGGTCTTTGTTGCTGCACACGGGCTTTCTTCAGTTGCAACGAGCGGGGGCTACTCTTCATTGCAGTGAACAGGTTTCTCATTGCGGTGGCTTCTCCTGTTGCGGAACATGGGCTCTAGGAGAGTGGGCTCAGTAGTTGTGGCTCACGGGCTTAGTTGCTGCACGGCATGTGGGATCTTCCCGGATCAGGGCTCGAACCCACGTCCCCTGCATTGGCAGGCGGATTCTTAACCTCTGTGCCACCAGGGAAGTCCCCATTCCTTTACTTTTAATCTATGTTTGTTTTTCTGTTTAAAATAAACTTTTTTGTAGGTAACATGTAGGTGGGTGCTGTTTTTTGATTCACTCTGACAATCTCTGTCTTTTATTTGGCACATTTATGTTCAAAGTGATTATTAACATAGTTGGATTAATATTTACCACATTTATCACCATTTTCTTTTCTTTTTATTCAGTTTATTTAAACTAAAGAAATAAAAACAGTTTACCCATTTCTCCTACCCCTGTATTGTGCCTCTGGTGACCACCAGTCTCTTCTCTGTATCTATGAGCTTGGTTTTATTTATTTATTTATTTGATTCCACATAAAAGAGAGATCATATGGTAATTGTCTTTCTCTGTCTGACTTATTTCAATTAGCATAATGCCTTCAAGATACATCCATGTTGTGGCAAATGGCATGATTTCATTCTTTATTATTGCTGTTGCTTGTTACTGTTTTCTGTTTTTTGCCCAGGTTCTTCCTATTTTTGTCTTCCACTCTTTTCCTGTCTTATGTTATTTTTTTTTTTTAAGTAATGTGTAAATACCTGAATAACTCTTTTTCCAAATGTATTTATTTATTTATGGCTGTGTTGGGTCTTCGTTTCTGTGCATGGGCTTTCTCTAGTTGTGGCAAGCAGGGGTCACTCTTCATCGCGGTGCGCAGGCCTGTCACTATTGCGGCCTCTGTTGTTGCGGAGCACAGGTTCCAGACGCGCAGGCTCCCAGACCAGGGCTCAAATCCGTTTCCCCTGCATTGGCAGGCAGATTCTCAACCACTGCACCACCAGGGAAGCCCTGTCTTATGTAATTTTATTGGACAGTTTATATGATTCCATTTTGTCTTCTTAGCATATCATTTATACCTTTTTCCCTCTTTTTTCAGTGGTTGCCCTAGAGTTTGCAATATACATTTACAATTAATTCAGATCTACTTTCAAATAACACTGTACTGCTTCCCAGGTAGTATGAGCAACTTATAATAACAAAATAATCCTAATTCCTCCATCCCTTCTCTAGTATTATTTATTTATTTATTTATCTATTTATTTATTTAGGGCTGTGTCGGGTCTTTGTTGCTGCACGTGGGCTTTCTCTAGTTATAGTGAATGGGGGCTGCTCTTTGTTGCAGTGCATGAGCTTCTCATTGCGGTGGCTTCCTTTGTTGCAGAGCATGGGCTCTAGAGTGCAGGCTCAGTAGTTGTGGCGCATGGGCCTAGTTGCTCCGCGGCATGTGGGATCTACCCGGACCAGGGCTCGAACCCACGTCCCCTGCATTGGCAGGCGGATTCTTAACCACTGTGCGACCAGGGAAGTCCCTTCTCTGGTATTATTGTTGTCATTTATTTCACTTACACATGAGCATATATACATCGTTGATATTATTATTATTTTGAACAAACTATTCAAAACTGTTCAAACTGTTATCTGTTAAGTCAGTTAAGAATAAGAAAAATACCTTTTTATTTCACCTTCAGTTATTCCTTCTCCAATGCTTTTCCTGTCTTTCTGTAGATCCGAGTTTCTGACCTATATCATTTTCTTTCTCAAGAAAAACATTTCTTGCAAGGCAGGTCTACTGGAACAAATTTCCTCAATTTTTGTTTGAGAAAATCTTTATTTCTCTTTCATTTTTGAAGAATAATTTCACAGTATACAGAATTCTAGATTTTTTTTCCTCTCAACATTTTAAATATTTTACTCTCTTCTTGCTTTCATGATTTCAGAGGAGAGGTCACTTGTAATTCTTATCTTTGTTCCTCTATAGATAAGGTGTTTTTTTCTTTAGCTTCTTAAGAATTTTTTTCTTTATCTTTGATTTTCTGTACTTTGAAAACAATATGCCTTGGTGTCATTTTATTTTGTTTTGTTTTGCTTTTTAAATTTTATTCAATTTTATTTATTTTTGGCTGCATTGGGTCTTTGTTGTGGCACGCAGGATCTTTCGTTGTGGCCTGCGAGCTTCTCTCTAGTTGTGGCGCGCGGGTTCCAGAGTGTGTGGTCTTTGTAGTTGCAGCACGTGGGCTTAGTTGCACCGTGGCATGTGGGATCTTAGTTCCCTGACCAGGGATCAAACCCCTGTTCCCTGCATTGGAAGGCAGATTCTTACCACTTGAGTACCAGGGAAGTCCCTGTTTTGTTTTGCTTTTTTTTTGCGGTACGCGGGCCTCTCACTGCTGTGGCCTCTCCCGTTGTGGAGCACAGGCTCCGGACACGCAGGCTCAGCGGCTATGGCTCACGGGCCCAGCCGCTCCGCGGCACGTGGGATCTTCCCGGACCAGGGCACGAACCTGCGTCCCCTGCATCGGCAGGCGGACTCTCAACCACTGCGCCACCAGGGAAGCCCTTGTTTCGCTTTTATCCTGCTTGGTGTTCTGCGTTTTTTGTATCAGTGATTTGGTATTTGACGTTAATTTAGGGGAAAACTCTTAGTCATTATTTTTTTCAAATATCTTTTTTCCTTTTTCTCCTTTTTTCTCCTTCTGTTATGACCTGTGTATGTTACACCTTTTGTAGTTGTCCTACAGTTCTTTTGTAGGTTCCCTAAATGGGAAAACAATGAAGGAAATCATAGCAAGGCACATCATAATTATGTGGCCAAAAAAAAAAGTGATAAAGAGAAAATCTTAAAAGTGATAGCTAAAAAACGACACACGACTTACAGAGAGACAAAGATAAGAAAACAGCAAACTCCTCATTGAAAACTATGGAAGGCAGAAAGTATTGGAATTTCTTAAAAGTGCTGAAAGCAAAAAGCCTACCTAGAATCTATATCCAATGAAAATTTCCTTTAATAAATACATTACAAGATATCACATCATTAAATATGCCAACATCATAATAGCTACTGTTTAAATGCCAGGAAGTTTGCCACGTAAATTACTTCAGTTGATCTTCACCACACCCTGTGAGTTTAAGTATCATTGTCAGTATCATTTTACCAGTGAGGAATCTGAAGCTTAGATACATTGAGTAGCTTCAGCAAGGTTATAGAGGACTAATCAAAAAGCCAGGATGTATTCACTCAGTCATTCAATAAAATATTCTTTGAGCACTTCTCAAGTGCCAGGCATGTTTTGGCATCCAGATCACTGCAGTTAAGAAGGCCTCTTTATTGTAGCTTCCTATCTCAGTAGAGAGACAGGTAATTATCAAGTGTGTGATTGAAATAACTTCAGATAGTAACAAGCACCAAGAAGTAAATAGAAGGTCAGCGGTTGGTGATTAAGACTAACTGAAGGATGTGGACTAGATTTAGTCTGCAGAAAACTCTCTGAGGAGTAGACATTTGAACGAAGACATAAAGGAGCAGCCTTGTGATGACCAGAAACTTGGCATGCTCAGAGCACAGGCAGGAGGCCTGAGAATGGCAGCAGAAGGCCCAGACGGGAGCCCTAGAAGAGGAAAAGGGGGCGAGAGACAACGGCCTGTTCTTTAGCACTTGGTAAACTGCATTAGGGTTTCCTTGATGTAGGGAAGCAGATTTCAGTGAAGGCAAAGTACATTACTGAGGAAAGCCTGAATTACTCCCAACTGCCCTGGTAAATGTCCCTTTTCCATATTTATTATGATGAGAAAAGCCACATGCAAGTGAGTTCCTAGTTAGGGGGGTAGGACGTGTGGTCTAGCCGGGGCCACTTTGGGGGAAGGCCTGAAGATGAGTCTGTACCATAAAACGTTATTTACCATGGGGGGACATTTGTATATTACGTGTGAGTTAAGCTGGGTCTAGATGCCAAAGAGTTTGTAGATACTACACTGTATGTCGTGGATGTCTACACATTGCCTTCATCCAAACCCAGTTAGCTAATACATCAGGTAGAAGGTGGT